TTAATATCAGCACGGTAGATTTAATGATACTGACACTCATTATGTTTCAGCTCCCTGAAGTGGGGCCAATGTTTCAAGTGATTGGCACATTCAGCAGTAAGTGTGCTTAAGAATAGGTGTTTCACGGGACGAGGGTTAGACCCTTCCATATGCAGGAATACTTTCCTGCTGCTCAGCCAAGGCGGAGGGTTTGTATTTAATAGCAAAGTTGGAAAGTAAGTGAGGGAAAAGTATATGTAAAGTTGTTCTTTCAGGGCTTTGCGTAAGATGAAGCTACAAGATTCATTCTTCTCCTCCTGGCTTCAGTGGCCTTATACCATCCAAATCCCTCAAATCAAAATCCACCTCGAATGAATTGCCGTGGAATACAAATGAGGAAGCAGTGGCAGGGATTTCTCTTTTAATGAGGACAAAAACCTATCACCACATCTAACCTGAAACGCTTCATTTGCCGCTGCCTGCCAGCTTGCGCTTCCCAGAAGAATTCTGGGGTTAAAACTGTAGAGTTTGAGCGCGGTTCGCTCAGGGCACTGGCAACAAACGATGGCCTCCCTCCCACACCCCCGAACATTTAAACCCAGCTCAGTTTGCCCAAAGCAATCTCGGCTCGGGAGTCGAAAGGTCGCTTTAAATAAATAAAGAATAAGGAGATTACTAGGCATCCCACACACGGAATGAGCAGCACTTTGAAAGGATAGCCAAGGCTACACCATTTAGCATTCAGTAGCCTCGAGCAGTCCGTGAGGCTAGCAGTCAGAACAGAAAGTCCAGATTGACTCCCACTCACTTGCCACAGCTTCATCAGTTCTTTAAGCTAAACTTCTGACCTGTTTGTCATTGTGCCGTTTGTTGTTTGTCAGCCATGAGAATATGTGGAATTAATTTATTGCCTCAGGTTGAGCAACGCAGACACTGTTTTGACCAGCATTTCATTATAATATGTTTGCATCTCCGTGACTCTCAACTTTTACCCACCCAAACTTTGCAACAATATAGCACTTGGGAATTGTAAAGCAGGTGACAAGACAAATGCTTCAATAAGAGCTCTCTGAAAGCTTTTGTGTTATTTTCTGAATCTTCTAAATAAAAGCGGCAGTGTTGGGCTGGAAGAGCACACTCCCAGTGAGACCATGTAGCCAAGATTACACAGTACATCAGTGGAACTCTATTCCCAGGTATTAGGTGGGACTTCACAGGCTTTAAAAGCAAACTCAATAAGATTTGTGACTCATCGTATACATGCACACACAGACAGCCAGCAAAATATAGTCTCCAGTGCATACGCATGCCGGGTGCATGGACCCAAACACACCTGAAATCCAGTCTTTTTGGGGCATAAGAGCCTGCGCGCACCGTCATACACACCACACACATACATGCCCTTTGTCAAGCCGAGCTTGTTACATCATCCTGAGGGGAGTTTATCAGCGACCAATCAGCAGCAGCCCAAAGGCTGTTTTGTCTTCCTTTTGCCTGAAACTCTCTGAACTCACAGATTACCTTTCAGCCATGGGTATTTGTTTACCGCAGCCTGAATTTGCAAGTCTTTATCGCGGCTACTTGCCATCACTGAGGGGAAGTGTTTTATACACAGTTTATCTGCGCAAGGAGAGTCAGTCCACTGGTAATCCAGGTCTTTGTTTAACTACCTTCTTAGCGTGTTTGCTCAGTCACGGCTTAAAATAGGAGAAATTATTGCTTCTTCTTTTTTCATTAGACAACACTGTGTAGCATCTTATCATTTTATTCAAATGCCAAATGAGTACCCAGGTCAAGATATTTAATGTAGAGATTGCACAAGCAAAAATTCCTCCATTTATTAAATCTACAAATTGAGAATCATATTAGCTGTGCAGTAATGCTGCATATGAGACTGGAAGTATTTGCTTGCTGTTAACAGGTAATTTGTTACATTCCATGTTAAAAATGTGTAATATTTTTCTATAGACATGGTTTACAGTCCCATATATTCTTCTCAAATGTTTGGCCATTTACACACTGGGAAGCATTTTCTAGTGATGGTGAACTTATGTAGCATTACTTTAATAATCTTTATTCCAAATAGTCCTAATAGCCTTTGAATGCCTCTCTCTTTTCCTGGTAGTAAAAACTAGTCACTTCTACTTCTTAAATTCCCTGCACATGATCACACTGTCATCAGGGCTGCGTTTAAGGGGGTGGGAAGAAAATCAGCACATGTTTTTCTTTATTTCAGATCCTTTTTTTTCCTTTTGGCTGATTAAAAAGGAATGTTTTACGTGACAGTGTTGCACAATCCACCTTATAGGGCTTCACAGGCGACCAAAGGCTTTCTCACCTTCACAAATCTCCACCCTAATACAGTCCTGTGAAGGAAAGCGAGACAAAAGCGGCACTGTAGCAGGGAATTTTTTCTGTGGTGGGAATATTAGAAGCATACACAAGGAAGGATGAGCGAGCGGAGCAAGGCAAAGCTCACTGGAACGACTCCCAGCCCTCATCACAATCATGCCGAGACCACACAGCCACAAAATGTTCCAAAACAGTTGGAATACATGGGATGAACTGGGGAGGGTATGTGGTGCCTTTGATGGTGAGCGGTTAACACAGCTGCCTCTGCTCAAGCAACTGCGTCTCTCTGTCTCACCTGATTTACGGAAATGTGAAATGATGTGCACACACTGCATTCAAAAGATACAAGCTTTCTTTTGAGAGAGCACGTCTCAAATTACACTAAATTCTCTGGTTAACACAATCCTAGTTTCCAGTGTCATTTAGCAACCAGTGTCATTTAGTCTCATTAGAGTTCCAAGCAATTAAGAGAGAAAAGTCCCCCCAGGCATAAACAAAGGCAAGAGCGGCATTGCAAGTATGGCAACTGTAAGACGCTCTAAGGGTGCAGGAACTGCTGCAAGAAGACACTATTGGAGTTAAACCTGGGGTGCAGAACAACCACATTTTGCATAAAGGAAAATGTGAAGCATTTTTGGACTGCTGGACATCAAATTAAGCAGGACAACTTTGAAGACAAGAGCAGCCCTCTGGAACAGCACCCAGGCCTCTTCATCACCAACATATTCTGACGATGAGCACTGGCCAACCTCAGGATCCTGGCCTGTCTCCCAGCCAGCCCTGCTAATTACTCCCCCTCTTCTGAGCTAATTGGCCGATAAAAAATGAGGATGGCCTCTTCACCCAGCCCAAATGTTGTGCCACCAAACGGCAGTAGGAAGGATTATGCGGGCTTATGAGGCATGGTGACACTCAGCGAGAACCACTCCTCTGCTATTAATTTCCCTGTCAAGCGGGTCGCCTCTGCTGTGTCACTTTGGTTTGTAAGCGGATGCGAGAAAACTTTGGCCCGGGGTTGACTTCCGACAACTTCTTCTCATTTAGCGCCCTGGTACAAATGAACAATGAGATCACTCATTTGAGCAGATGTTGAGTCCTGGGTGATATCGGTGTTACAACTTGTTACAGGCAAATTACAAAGGGCTTATCTTACTTGAGTGGATTTTCCTTCTCTTTGCACAGTCAGGACTGCGGGTAGGTGATTTGGGATTTCCATGAAAACCCGTCTAACAATAGACCATGCATCAAGTTAATAGAGCTAATGTTTAAGAAAATAAATGCCTTGGACCGGCTGTCCTGGTGGTCTGGCTGTTGAGACACAACACAATGTGACTGCAGCAGATTTTTTGTTTACAGCCATAAATCTCCATATAATTAGGAGGCTATTTGCTGAGCAATTATGATATTAATTTATTCAAACACAGCTATATTTGTGGACTTTGCAGGTAATATTATTAAGTCTGTGAGAAATACAAATACTGAATAACAAGCCGTGCTCAAAGCCAGCAGCCTGTTAACAGCACTGGCAAAGGTCAGTGTTGGAGGTTGATGAGAACCAGGCGAATATTTGCCTGCAGAGTTGCATTCATGTTCTTGGGGTCTTAGCCCCTAATAATAACCCTACACTTTGGAATCCTGTCCAGCATGTGCAGCCAAACTACTATCAAACAGGATGGAGCAGCTGTGCACAGAGTCACGTCTATCTGTGACTGACTAAATGTGGCCTCTTCTGAAGAAGCATTTCTCAGAGGTGGATGCATTGACGTAAATATCGATAGCATTGAAGCAATCGATACTGGACCGATATTAGTGCAATAGGATCAGTAAGCTCAGTATGTAGCCCACTAAACTTTGCTAAATTAATAATAATAATTATTATTATTATTACTACTACTACTGGAAATGTAAAAACTATGCATCAAACACTACAAAAAATGTCTGAATCTTTTTGTGCTTACTGTCACGTCTATTTTATTTATATTTTAACAACATAATTTGACCCCCAAAAAGTATCGGTATTAGTATCGGCAATACTGACACTATATTTACTTGGCATCAGATTAATAAAAAATGTGCAGTATCGCACACTGATCAAGCAAAAACCTGGCGGACTTCTCATTAACTTCTTTTGTCAGCTATTAATAATCACAGTTGACAAATGACACACAGACAGTCACAAAAACATCCGTCTCTAAAACGGGAATAATGTCAGAAGAAAGAAGAAGTGAAACTGTATGTAATTTAGCAGGAACTGATTTCAATAATATTTGATTACTGTTGCTTTGTTCAGTTACTGTCTGTCGTTTTCCCTTCAGTCTTTCCCTGTCTACAGCATCAAAGTTGGGCACATTCAGGTTAAAGGATAAACAGGCCACGGAGAATACTGTGGGAGAAATGCAGAAAAGACAACTGAATATAACACGCGCGGGTAAAACAGAAAACGTTTGATCCAGCCGCAAACAGCACGAGCATCTCCGCGAGATTTTGACGGGCCGCTCCTCCCGAACGCTATCAGCTTCTGTTAAACTGAGAGTGTTTTGCTCTCTGGCAAAGCTCCAGTTTCCATATAGGCTTACAATTAGATAATTTGCACATGCGGACGACTCCGGTTATGAATGGGTGCATTCCGCTAGTCCCGCCTCTTCCGTTCCCACCGTCTGACCAATCGGCGGCGTCTTTGAGCCGATGGGGCGTCGCGTCGGCTGCCGTCGTGTCGGGATTGGAATGTTAGCGACCAACAATCGGAACAACTGAGCACTCGGTAATTGGACACTAGGATCAAGGAATCCCGTCTTTTTGAACATTTTCTCAGCTATTTAGTCAGTCTGAGGTCACCGTTTGTTACCCGCGTGTCTTCCGGATAACTTCGCCTGCCGTGCGGCTCTTCGCCGACGAGCTTTTTATTGAATAAGAGCGCGTATGTGGGGAGGTTGTAATAAATAAGAGAAATGCAGGGATTCGTCAGGTTACAGTTGTGCCGCTGAGCTTCCTCCTGCGCTACGACGAGTCCCCGGTTTTCTTTTCTCCGCTTCTCCTCACACGGGACCATGGAGCAATAAAAAGGGGAAAAGGAGGGGGTGTGTGGGAGAATCAGACGAATTCACCCAGAGGTATTTGGATACACGCGTGGTGGCCGTACCGATGTGTTTTTACACTGCCCGGTCAGCGTGTTGCCGAGTTTAACATCCAATCCGGGCTGTACCTTTACGTCTGGGAGAGCCTCGGGGACCCCAGCCGCTGTTTATCCGGGAGGACGGAGTTCCCAGGCGGCTGTCTGACAGTTTTCCATTTCAATAGCCCCCCACCCTCCGTGCAGCCAGGCTGAATGAGGGTGAGAAGAAGTGCAGGAGAGAAGAGTGGCTGCATATGATTGTGTCCGAGAGGGTCCGGTGAGCGCTGATCTTTGTAGGTGCACCAGAGCCCGGCTGCTAGGCGTTGTGCGATATGGTGAAACTCTACAGAAGAGGGAGAAAGGGACAAGACTTCTAAAATCGCCCACATGCACTGGACCAATTGCTGGATTTGGGAACCGAATACGCAGAAGGGGGGTTGGGGATCCTTGGAGGCTGCCGGAGGATGGAGCGGTGTAGTCAGGGTTAGTGAGAGCCTAACTTCGGGCCACTTTACATTTCTTATTCCTGAACAACTCGCCCTTGTTTTCAGGACACATGCAGGCCAAAAAACGTTACCTGATCCTGCTCTCCGCCGGTGCGTGTCTAGTGCTTCTCTTCTACCTCGGAGGGGTTCAACTTCCAGCGGCGAGCAGGAGTCGGCATGACCGCAGCAGAAACGGGCACCGGCCCGAGCAGCCCTGGCCTCACTTCTCGGACCCTTTACATCTTTTCCTGCCCTGGGATCAGACCGACACCGAGGACTACAACCTGCACATATCTCCGAGGCAGAAGAGGGACATCAACACAAGTGTTTACAAAGGCAAAAGGTGTCGCATGGATTCCTGCTTTGACTTTTCTCTGTGTCGAAAGAACGGATTCAAAGTTTATGTTTACCCCCAGCAGAAGGGGGAGAAGATCTCAGAGAGTTACCAGAATATTTTATCGACCATCGAGGGGTCCAGGTTTTACACCTCGGACCCTGGACAGGCATGTTTGTTCGTTCTAAGTTTGGACACTCTGGACCGGGACCAGCTGTCCCCTCAATACGTCCACAACCTGAAGACCAAGGTCCAGAACCTGCCCCTGTGGAACGACGGCAGGAACCACCTTATATTTAACTTGTACTCGGGGACGTGGCCGGACTATACGGAAGATTTGGGCTTCGACATCGGTCAAGCCATGCTGGCCAAAGCCAGCATCAGCACCGAGAACTTCAGGCCCAACTTTGACGTGTCCATCCCCCTCTTCTCCAAGGAGCACCCGCGTACGGGTGGAGAGAGGGGGTACCTCAAGTACAACTCCATCCCGCCTTTCAGAAAATACATGCTGGTGTTCAAGGGGAAGCGCTACCTGACCGGCATCGGCTCGGACACAAGGAATGCCTTATATCACGTTCACAACGCCGAGGACGTGGTGCTGCTCACCACCTGCAAGCACGGCAAAGACTGGCAGAAGCACAAAGACGCACGGTGCGACAAGGACAACGCAGAGTATGACAAGTAAGTTGGAGCAAGTAGAGGGGAAAGTGATTGTCTGTTGGTTATTATTTTTAATCAGTGCTTACATGTTTTTTTATGTTATTATTTATTTATTTGCGCTGTCATCACTCCAAACTGCGCAGCAGGAGCGCATCATCCACAGTTCTCACGCTGTGGCACAGAGAGAGAGAGAGAGAGTGTGTGTGTGTGTGTGTGTGTGTGAATACTTCAAATGAACTCATTAAGTGTCCTTCAGAACTGAAAATAGACACTGATCAGCAACATTCACAAGTTTGCTTTCCATTGAATTCATTACCTTTTTAAAACCCGAACCTCTTTGAACCCACCCACCCCTCTAAAACTCCAGGTCATAGTTTATATCTGACTGCTTTACCCCTCCACCCCAGCTCCTTTCTCCCTCTCCTACCTGAGGTAAAAGATCTCCAGCCAGGCTGTTGGCTCTCTGGACACCCCTCCCTCCTCTCCTCCCTCCCCTCACTTCTTCCCTTCCTATGAAGGAATCCCACCACCACCACCACCACCACCACCACCTCCCTACTGAAGCCTTTTAAAAGGACATGCATGGGCATGTTTGATTTGCACCCTGTACTTAGTGCAAATTAAGTGAAAGTTGGACCATGGGAGTTTTGGGCTCTGAAATTAGAGGTAAAAATGACCCAGTCATGACAAAAATACAGCTTCCTACAGTTGAAGGTGCATGCAGTGTAGTTTACGTTGGCTGCTGTGCCTAACATGTTTGGTTGAACGCGAGTGTGAATAAATCAGTCAAAATGGGTTAATTACACTTTCATTTCTGGGAGTTAGTGGCGTGGTTTCCATTTAGCCCCCGGGGACAGTTGATTACCTCTAATTCTGGAGGTATCAGGTTTTGTCGAAGTGGTAATTAATGATTCCCCCTTGGGATCAGCAGCTGTACTCGAGTGTTTGGTTTTAATATAGGGGGCAATGTTTTCTCAGGTTCACATATTTGGATTAAGCGGTGAACTCGACTGCTCAGGTTCACTTGTGTGTGAGTGGCATCTGCTTGATTTGCATTTATCAACCTGTGGATCCTAGCGTTTGCAAAGAATCCAGAGTAAACTCCAGGCGTGTGGTAACAGCACTTGTCAGCATTGCTTCCTGTGTGTGTGTGTGTGTGTGTGTGTGTGTGTGTGTGTGTGTGTGTGTGTGTGTGTG